TTCATCTGTGAGCGTGCAGGTGTTGCAGCTGTGGAGTACTTGTCGTGAACAGTTTAAGCCGCATTCTGAATTCTATGTTCGCAGCTCCAGTTAGCTCGTCTCTTCCAGGTATGACAGAAATGTGTGTTTTTGAAAAAGCTTTGAAAAGAAGTGTGGGCCATGCACATCACAAAGCAAGCCAAAATATGTGAACTTTGCGTGCGTGACTGTGTGTGGGTGTATGTTTGTGTTTATGTGTGAGCGTGTGTGAAAAATAGCAGCATGTGATTTATGTAAATGAGTGTCATCGGCCGAGGAGGAGGCAGAATTCCCAGGCCTGATGAGTGGCTTAATGATTCATCAGCCTGGCTGAGGCAGGCATCAATAATGGATGACAGAGTGGGTCATGCAGGATTGCTCGCCCCTTGATTAAAGTGCTCCACAGCTAAACGCCTCACTTCCTCCCTCTTCTCACCCTACCTTCTGTGAGGATAAATACAGAAATGTGCCATGAACACACAGCCCTGCGCGCACACACACACACACACACACATATACTTGCACTCATGGTCACACACACCTCTTGCTCAATCTCTTTCTGTATAGCTTAATGTCATCTCACCTCTCACATATGCTTAATAAGCTCTCATCCCTTCCTCATCTCCTCACTCTGTTTCTTTGGTCTTAATCCAATCACGGCGGGTGAAAAAGGGAGAGAAAGGGGTAGGGAGAGGCAGAGAGAGAGTAGGAGAGGGGGAAAAAAGAAGATGGAAAGCGTGGGAGAAAAGAAGAGAAAGCCACAAATGAATGCTTTATGATTTGTCTGTACAGAAATGGAACCTTTCTCTCTGGAGATAAGACAGGAACATAAATGTTCTTTCTCTCCCCTCCACACACAGAGCAGAGGGAGTCATTCTCTCTCTGTCTCTCTCTGTAAGCTGTATGTGGGTGTTGGTGTGACAGGACAAATCTCTGTCTATTAGGAGACATAAACCTCTAAACCCTGAGCTACACAGCCATACATACTAATGCAGCCATACAGAGGGCTGGATAGAAGTTGGGAACGATAGAGAGGAAACACATAGAAAGAAAGAGATGTGGAGAGTCTAGAGATGGAAGGAGACAGAGCAGGATGTTGAAAGCAGAGAGTGTTCTGGCGGGATTTCAATCCCTGGCTAGCACGGGGTCTTAACTGCTACACAATCTTTGAGTACAGCAAAACCAGCTTTAACAAAGTTGGACTGATGTGCACCACAGAGCAAGCTCAGTAAGTTCATGTGTGTGTGAGTGTGTGTGTGTCTGTGTGTGTGTGAGTATCCTGTATATGTGTGGTGGTGTTGAAGCCAACAGTTTATTTTCTGCTTTCACATCTATAGTATCATTAGCCATCCATGCACTTATACTCTAATGTGCCAGAGAAAAGATCACTCACTCTTATTGGACACACTTATGTTATCCCTTGCTAGCACAAATGGACCACACAGAGCGAACATGCACACGCACGCACGCACACACACACACACACACACACACACACACACAAATGCTCACTCTTGCTGGAAAGCTTCAAAAGGAACCGCAATCATAAATGCCTGGAAGAGAGCAATCATTCCTCAACAACAGCAACCCATCGTTCTCTCTCACCCGTCCTGGCCCCCCCTTGGTGTGTCACGCTGCTCGCCCCTCATCTGTTATGTTTTTCAGTTGGCAAGACTTAGCCAGGCGTTAAGAGTGTAGCGTGTAATCTTCGATCGTATTAATCCTGTTCTTTAAATCTGTCACTTCCCAAACTGATTACCTTCATCTTCTTAACTTGTCTTTCACTCTAATCTGTATCATCACACTCTGACAGATTACAGTCGCAGTTTGATCACTTTAACAGATAGAGATGCAATCCTCTTTGAGGCAGTCAGTCACCAGCCTTGTCTGGACAGATAGGAATGTGATAGACAGCACATGAGTGCACGATATGTGTGTTTATATGTGTGTGTATGTACTAACTTAACTATGCTGTATATCCATTTATCCATGCAGGGTTTTCAGTTGTGTCTGTTATCTAAATGTCAAGAGTGTATGATCCATATAATTCCATTTTTCTGCCAGCTGGGAGAAGAGAGCATTTAATACTGGAGATGACATTTAGCAAGAGAGGAGAGAAGGCTGATAGGCACACAGATGGAAGGACACATCACTGACAAGTGCTTTTAATGCATGGGAGGGGAAAAAGGATACAAGAGAGAAACTGAGATTGACTCCAAAAATATTATAAAAGACTACGATAAAGAAAGACCTGAATTAAATGAGAGGTGGAGTGATGTGAGAGGAGAGGGTGAAAGGATAGAAGACAATCAAATCTCACCAATATATCTCCTCCAAGGCTCTTCTCATGTCCTTTTCACCCCGGAGAGCAACTGTGGAGAAAGCATCAGAGAGGAAACAAGAGGTGGAAGATAATCCGACAAAGCAAACTTACAGTATATGCATGTAGATATATGTAGAAATCACAGAGACAAAGAGTAAAGGTCACATCTCCATGCTTTATATCTAGCATCCTTTATCCTCCTGTAATTGGTTTATGGTGTTCTCCTTAATGTGCCCTGAGACAAAGGGAAGGAAACCTTCTCCTTTTTTAGAGAAACAAATGCAAGTCCCTGAAGAGCACAGTGACTGAGTGGTAGGATCATAAAAATACATTAAAAGACACAGAGGAGGCCACAGTTTGTAGAGCACCGGGGTATTTTAGAAATTTGCATGCACGCTTTCATGCATTTGTGCTTCCGCCTTGATCCCACCCAACACAAATTTTATCCACAAAACGGCTGGAAAGAAACTATGGGTCATGTTTGTTCAAGAGGAGAAAATGTCTTAAGATGTCCTCTGCTTTTTTTTCCTGTCTGTAAGCTATGCTCTGCCCTGGTGAATCAGTTTAACTTGTCCTGCACGAGCCAGAGGCTGAGCTCACATTATATTCAGGACATCACGCGCAGGGAGAGATTGTGAGGAGAGGGGGAGGATGTTGGGAGGTGGGCAGATTTAAAATATGGCACCGAATAAGACTAATATGTGATACAGAGCATGAATAAGTCCATGAAAACAAGGGAGCCCTGTTGAACGGGGAGGAGAAATAGAGAGTGATGGGAAGAATGAAGGCGGGAAGGGGTGGACAGATTAGCGGAAGGGCTAGAATATGACCAATTAATCGGTTTAGCCGATTCATTCTATCACAGGCGGGAGGGTGATATTGGCCGATAAATTGGCTATCGGCTTTTTCCTGCTCCAAACTCTATTATATCAGCCTTTAAAAATCCACTATCAGTCGACCTCCTGGGGGGGGGGGGGGGGGGGGGCTCTGTGGCCTTGCCTTGTGATGGACAGGGAATTAAATTTTGATCTCTTGCTGAGTGATCGTTTGGTTGGGCCTTGTGACTAATCATAGATTTATGACTTTCAACAGGAGAGCGGTGCAATTTATCCATGCCACAGGCTTCCTACTGTAACCCTAGTACAGTTGTTTTGAGGCTTTTGAACACCCCGCCTCATTATTTTTCATCTGCTTACATTTGCATGAGGATGCGACATGTCACACATTATATATGGAGTCAGGATGCTACCGTGCAGCTCTCTCTTTTTAGGTCAAGACAAGTATAGGTCCTAAAAATCTATCAGTGACATTGATGCCTATAGATGTGCTCAGAGCAGATTTATTTTTATCAGTAAAACTCTAACGCAGTTAACCTACTGTAAACAGAGCATGAAAGCAGCACTTACTGTGCAGCCACTCAGTATTTAGACAGTGACATATTTTCTGTTTTTTTGAAGGTACTTCAGCATATTAGATTTAGAATAAAACAATGACCACAAGGTTAGAGTGTGCACTTTCAGCTTTAAGTGTTTCTGAGCGTGTTTATATTCATACTGAGTGGACAGTCTAAAAATGCAAAATTCCATTAGATAAATCTTTTAGGACAGCACAGCAGGTCAGTGATCCTAAACATACAGACAAGGCAACCCAGATGTTTTTAGTATAGTCAAGTCACCTGGCGTCAGTCCAACTGAACATCTGTCTCACAGATAAAGGTTATACTGAGGAAAAACAGTCTGAAATAGCTCCAGTACAAGCCTGACAGAGCATTACTAAGGAAGCTACCAAGTATCTGCTTATGTCTGTAGGTCACAGACTTCAGTCACTGACTGACAGCAAAGGACTTGAAATCAGATATTGAATACAATGCCCTTGGTAACACTTATGTTGAATTGCACACTCTGTCCCCTAAAACTGGAGGAAACTGTTTAAAAAGAGCTTCTATACATTTCATCTGATTTTGATGTTACTTGCCATGAGGAGTACTGCAGCAATTGTGTAATGTCCTCTGTGGCTCTAAAAAGAGCTTTTTTAAAAAAAAATAAATGTTGTCATCAAGGCTTTTCTGGGTTGGTCTTGAAACTTAAAGGTTATAACAAAGCTTGCATTATGAACTTGGAGTATGTCCTGGGCATTTATCATTCAGAGAGGGTCTAACAGAAGACACTACTGTGTTGTATCATGGGAAATGTAGGATCCAGAGGCTAAAAGTCGGGATGTCTCTGCCTCTGCTTCCCCAGTTACGGCCATTCTTTCACAGAAGTGAAATTTAAAGTGGAGAAGCAGCTTTAAGATCAGAAGTACCAGATTTTGTGATACATCTGATCTTAAACCAAATTTAGTTTTAGAAGTAAACAAATCATCTGGTACAAAGGTCGCAGACCCTCAGTTTAACGATAAAATCCTGAGAGAAGCACTCCTCATATCAACAAGGCAACAAAGGGCACAGGGCAAATTAGCAAATATAATCCCTTCATGATTTATTTATTCAGTTTGTTTCTTGCATGCTGCTCAACATGCAAAGGTCAGAGGGAGATGGAACTTTCCGTTTGTATTTTGAGTGAGAGAGAAAGAAAAGGAGGAATTGGACAAACACTGACAATTTTCTGTGCAGAGGGTTTAAATTTAGAAACTCGACGAGTCAAGATACACCTGACAGGATCTCTGGAATACACTTTGTACTTTACCATGTTTGTTGTTCTCATATTCTGAATTACTTTGTCCTGTCCAGTGTCTCTTTCACAGGTTGCTGGCAGTTTTAGAGATGACGTAGCTCACTGGTACTAACACATCTGTCCTTTTGGCTGTAAGAAAACCCTAATGACCGTATCCATGGTCAACACATCTGCGGTTTTGGCTGTAGTCGCTCTGTGTTCTAGTTTTGGCCATACTTCTAACTGGCTGTAATGATTTGGAGCAAACAAAGATACACAAACACACAGAGAAACACTGTTCAGACCAATAACAAAGGCTGGGACGTACATGCAGACGTACATGCACACACACATTAAATGAATAAATGGGTGGGTGCTGGCCATGGAGGCATATTAAAGGCAGTCAAGGGAGATTCATTAGGGCTGCAAATATCAGCTCATTAACACTCAGCTTTCCTGTTTGGCACTCTGTGTTCGTGTGTGTGTGTGTGTGTGTGTGTGTGTGTGTGTGTGTGTGTGTGTGTGTGTGTGTGTGTGTGTGTGTGTGTGTGTGTGTGTGTGTGTGCGTGCATGAGGGTGTTGCTGCCGCTGAGATCTACAGGTCATTACAGTAACAAGCAACTTAGCCCTCAGGTCAGCTGTCATTAGCTACAGAAGAATAGCCAGAAATCACACCGCACAGCCAGACTCTCATGCCGCCAGACTCTCTCCACTTGTGTATGTGTGTATGTGTCTGAAGGATTGGATCACAGAGACACCTCAGAGGCTGGCAGAGAAGAAAACAGAAGAGTGGCAGATACTTGTCAACCATGATAATAATAATAATAATAATGATGATGATAATAAACTTTATTTATATAGCTCTTTTCTTAACAATGTTACACAGTGCTCTACAAAAGAAATAAGAATAGACTGAAATTGACTGCAAGAGAGAGACAGAGCAGAGGCAAACAGAGTTGCTGATTTTTTTTTTTTTTTTCACAAATGGAATTGTGTTTGTCCATTACAGTAGCCAAGTTATGGTGATAATTATAGCTGAAGATAATTAAATGATTAATTGGGCTTGATAAACTGCTATGAATTGTTTATTGCTACATGATATCATGGGATGGTGTTAAAATAGCACGCCACTTTAGACGTTATTTCACGTATCGTGTCTATGCATTTTAAGGTTTTCACGTCTCATTTAACGCCGTTGTAATAGGGGTTAGGGGTTAGCCAGTAGCAGTGGCGATCCTAGACTCTAGAGGCCCCCAGGTAAAGAATCCTTTTTATTAAAAGATAATAAATAACATTAGGTGTACACACGTGTTTGAGTATTTGATCAACAAAGGAGGAGCAGCATGAAAATATGTAATAAGACAACATCTCTCTTGGGGAGACACACACACATCATCAGAGGCCTCACTAAGGGGGTTTTTGGGGCAGTGGTGGTGCACTTGTTTATGAGAGGTGTAAGGGTTTTTTTTTATAGTTATTGCAAAATATGTGCCAATATTTGGAGCCATCTGGTTTTCTTCTCCCAACAGTGCACCTCTGGTCGGTAGAGAAGTGACATGGTGTGAAATGACACACAAAAAGCAAAAAATGCGCAATGATAACACATGAAATGACTTAAGAAATTATTCATTCATCATTTGGTGATACCAGGTTGTTTATTCAATTGTTCTCTCAAGGCACAGTAGCAATTAGAAGTTATCTAAATTCATAAACATCCCTTATTCACAGTTTCTCCCTTTGTCTCTTCTCTTCTCTTCTCTTCTCTTCTCTTCTCTTCTCTTCTCTTCTCTTCTCTTCTCTTCTCTTCCCCTCATCACCTGCTGAATGCTAAATGAATGGGCATTGTGCAATTATGTGCCAGCCTTGCAACTTCTTCACAATTGTTACGCACCTTAAATATTGAAAAGACAGAGATAATTCTTCAGTGAAAGAGGAATGAATATGTCACTCATTAGATACCACACTCTCCAAAATTAATTTCATTTTGATACTGGCAGATGGGCTTTATGAAATGCTACATTAAGAAATAACTTGAAATCTATTCAGCATAGTTCCATCTTTCTATTTCTTAAATTATTATCTTAAATTACAGAATATGAAACACTAGATATAAAAGAAGTAAATAGAGGGATACACAAAACAATGCAAATTATAAACAAGTCCATCACACGAGTTTCACAGCAACATGAGTTAATTAACAGAGCCGGAAAGAAACAAAGTTTTAGAGGAAATGTAAAAGTCTTGAAAATCATTATAATAAACAAACGACAATATGCAGAAGCAAAGAGAAACTAACTAACGGCAAATTTGCTGATGCAGTTGAGTGTAGGGTTCATAAAGAGACATACTGCTCAGTGGCATGTAACCTTGTAAGGCCTGTGTTTTTATCAGTTCTGCAATGGCAATTACTGTAACAACGGTTTCTTCACAGTTAGCCATGTCCATGAAGTTTTTACTTTATTTTTTCCACCCCCTGCAGGATAAGCTCTATTCAGTAGCAGTTACAGTAATATATTTCAGTGAATCTCTTACCACCAGTTGTGCTGCGGCTGACCTCACTGTCTCTCTCTTCGTGGATTTATTATGCATACTGAGTGTTGTTTCGTCCTATTTTTTTTTTTTTTTTACCAGTCTGGGTATGTTTTGAATTTCATGCTGAACAAGACTGCAATTAAGACTTGTGTTGCAGTGCTGTTAACAATTAACACATCTGATCAAGTTTCATCTCAGCATGATTAAGACAGCATATTTAATAAGTCTGAGGAGGCACAAATTCACACTGTTCTATGTGGTAGTCAAGTATTCGCCAGCTGCCTGTGCACATCTAGCCATGTAAAGAAAGAGAGACATAGTGGGCAAGAAAAGGAAACTTAGTTAAGTGCAAAAACTAATTTATTTAATTCTTCACACCTCCTTAACAATAATACATTGGCGTCATTTTTTATGTCAGAATCTCAAATAAAACTGTCTTTCTCTGCAAATTGTTGAAGCCTACAGTTTTCATGATTTCATTGTGTCCCATGCCAATATTCTAATTTACCAGGAAATATACATCAAATTAAGGAGGGAAAAAAAACGATCAAAATGCTGTGTCAGAGGGACTTTACTATAATACAAGTCTGTTAGCCTTAAAAGTCCTCCCTCAGACTCTCTCTAGGTCGAGTCCAGCCATCCATGAAAATGCTGTTCAATATTTAATTACAGCCAACGAGAAAGTGACCAGCGAGACAAGTGAAACGATTTAGCTCATACAAGTACAGTAGGTGTCTGAACACAGTTTTAATTCAGGATTTTAATGTCATTGATTCAGTCTAAACAAACTATATAAAACCTAAATGGCGCTGAACACATTCAACTCAGTATGCATAAAGTTTACATGGAAGCAGCAAATTAAATGAAGCACTCTCACTATTTTCCACTCTGTTTATCACTCTAAGCATGAAAATGAGCTTTATTCACATTGTTTTCAATGATATTTGTTTTTGTATTTTAGAATTCATAACCACTCAAACCATTTAAACCACTTAAATTTAATAAATGACCCTGTATACTTGCATTACATAACAAATTTGGATTTGTATTTTTTTTTAAGAAAGAGCAAATGTGGTATCGCTTACCTTGTTGTGAAATGATTGAGAAGTATTGTCTTTATAATTATTCTATTCTTGTGTTTATTATTTATAAGTCTCTCTTTGTGTCCCTGACAGAGCTCTAGCTGTAGTCAACTCAGTGTTAAGGTGTTAATGAGAGTTATGATAGGAAGAAGCATATCTAATAGGTGTCTGCAGGTTTCCTTTGCAGCTCAGCAGTTTTGAATGTCAGGATCACCAGAAGAATCCAGATAATTCAAAATCTCCATTAGTCTCCATAGTGTGCTTACAACTAACGAGGGTGATTTTGTTTTTAAATTTCATATGCTAGAAAAATCTGACATCCAAAAAAAAAAAAAGAAAACAAGAGGGCAGTTTTAATGGGTACGATGGCAGTGACAGTATGATTGCATCAGAAAAGTGTTGTCACAGTTTCAATCCCAGAGAACTCCCAGAGGTTCCTCAAGGGATTTTTTTTTTTTCTTTCTGAAGAGTTTTTCATGAATGTGTTGTATATCATTAGTTTCCAGTGCACATATTCTCAAGCACTGACAGACCACGTGTGTAAAACACTTTTAGCGTGACCTGTTCATTTCCACAGTAGCTCTAGACATTAAATTACATGCGTTTGTGTCTGAAACTCCTGTTATGGTCCATAATGACTCTTATTTGCGGCATAATTTCAGCTATGACGAGGGATAACATGGCACTTCTCCCACAAATTGAGAATGAGCGGAGAAAGAGAGAGAGAGAAAAAAAGAAAAGAAGCATGGAAACACATTCACATTCACAGCCTCCCAGCAACACTCACACACATAATCATGCAAACAATCAATGTCCATTCAGGTCTGCAGATATCACTTGTGCATTTTCTGCAAACAAATTTATGCTACTGAGGTAAATTGAGGTCTAGATTAATTTAGCACTGGTGTATCAGGTTGACAGGCTGTGTATGACGGTGCATGCATAAGTGTGTTTGTTTATGTGGGTGTGCTGAATGTGTGGATGTATCTCTGTAAGTGAGTCTATGCATATTGGCAAGAAGAAATCATATGAGGTGGGCACATTTGAAGGAAATGAAAGCTCTCATGTTTGATTTTAGTATTCAACGGGAAAAGGGGGAATCACATGTGAGGATCCCTCTGACATAAACAAATGGCTTGTGACTTTGCAAGCACACATTTCTGCTTTGATGCATTCACACCTTTTCTTATGTACACCCCTCTTTCCATACATATATTTCACTGTTCAAAATAATTACCATGACAGAGCGCAGAGAGGTGAGAAGAAAGGGGTTAGGGAGTACAAAGGCGAGCACGCACAAAAATACACACAAGCTCACATGTATGCACACGTCATGCGCGCACACATGAAGACATGCACATTCACAGCTCCTGTGTAATCTTGCATAAGCCCAAAGGTCTACAGAAACAAAGCTTTCATTATCTCAATCTCATCACCCCGGCAGCACTCATAGGAAGGCCGCCCCGGTTGATTGGATCATTTCCTGGTCGTGACTTAAGCCTGCAAGGCAGATCGATACCATGGCGCACACACACAAACACCTACACACACACAGAACAACACAGGATCAATGTGTATTAGTTACCTCTCTGTTGATTTAGGTATAGGAGAGTTCTGTCAGCCTGGTCGTTTCTTTAGCCTCCCCTACACTTCACCCATTGTGCCTACAAGCTATCTAGCTGCAGATGGAACAGGCCAGAGGAAGGACAGTCTTTTCCCTCTGTATGTGTGTGTAACTGCGTATGTGTGCAGATAGAAATTGCATGGATATAGCATTTATATGTGTGAAAACTGATGGCGTGTACAGCGGGGATTGTTAAACTCTGTGGTGATAGCGATGCTCAGATGTTGGTGTGTGCGTTTCTGCGAGGGCAGGCAGGGGCCATTTCTCCTCTTGCCTGCATTGCTATCCTCCCTCTCTTTTCCTCTCACCTATGTTCCTGTGTGCAGGCATATTACTGAAGCAAATTGGGGCCAATAGACTCTGTCACTGCATGACCCAGGGCTCGCCAAACAGAAAAGGAGCAAGCCAGAAAGAGAGAAAAAGGCAAATAGAGGGGGATACAAGGGGGGATAAAGGAGTGGAGGAAAAGCGTAAGTTGGATGAGGGAGAAAAAAAGGACGAAGACAAAAACAAGAGCTCGCATAGAGAGGGAGGACGAGTAGGAGATGGACGGAGGGAAGGAACGAAGCAGAGAAGGAGAGAAAGAAGTGACAACCTCAAATTAAATTCCCATCATGTCAGTGTAGAACAGAATTCAATAGTGTTTATTGGCAGCCCCTAGCCTGAGGGAAATTACATTCTGAAGCAGAGCATGGCATGAATGCACACACACCCCTGAACACTCACGAAAACGCGCACAAAAACACACACACATACACAAGCAAGCACACACGTCTATTGTACACAACCCTGTGCTTGTCCTCGGACCAAAAAAAAAAAAAAAAAACCCTCTGGCTGATGTGAGCATGCAGACAAGCGATTTATCCCCCGAGGTCCATGTGCCATTTGTGCAGTGCGTGTTTGTGTGTGTGTGTATCTGTCCATGTGCTATTTATGCAACTTTATATATATGTGTGTGTGTTTTTGTCTGGAACTTTCTCTTCCTCACATGCATGTTTTTGTGTAGAAAAGTCTAAGTTGAGCATTTTAGATGCTCAGTTTTTTTTTTTTTCTGTCAGCCACAATTGCCCCTTTCTCTGCAGTCAGACTCAGACTATTTGCCATTACAGTACATACGCAGGTTTCTATTATAGTGGCTGTATTAAATGTGTCCCCAGGCTCAAGCTGCCATGAGCACAGGGCTTCAGTGCCTTTGTCCAACCTCCAGCAGCAGCAGTAAGGCAGCATACTTTAATGGGAAGCTGTTTAACAGTTTTATGCAGAGCACATGTAGAGGCTATTACTGCTGATGTCTCTGGGATGCAGATTTGCTCTAAATGGCTAACAATCTGCCATTCTTTTGACCCCCCCCACCACCACCACCCAAATCCCAACCCCCGCCAACTCTTCTTGCGCTCTATCTCTGCCCCTCTAACCCTTTATGTCTCTATCTCTCTCTGCATCTATCTCGACTCTCATTTCTGTCCCCCAATCCCTCCAGCACTCTAACTCGTCTTCTCCGTCTCTCTCTTTCTCCAGGAGCGTGCAGAGAGAGCTTTGGGCTGCTCAGTGGAGGATCTGAAGGCTCTTTTCTACTGTGAGCTGTGTGACAAGCAGTACCTCAGACACCAGGAGTTTGACAATCACATCAACTCCTACGACCACGCACACAAACAGGTATAAGGGAAGCACCTGCGCTACAGCTTAACACACACATGTTACAAACAGACACACAAGCAGACATTTTTTATGATCTCTCGCAGCGGAATTTGGGTGTGTTAGCTTTATGCGTGTTGACGGAAAGCTATGTTACATCTCCATGTCAATCCGCCCATTGGGTACAGTTTCCCAGCGGGTAGCAGTAGAAATGTGACAACTGCATCATCTCTGTCACACACACACACACACACACACACACACACACACACACACACACACACGCACACAGAGGTGGAATGCCTCAACTCAAGACAAATACACACACATCGCACTGCATGTATCCATTTGAACAGGCTGATAACATAACATAACATAACATAACATAACATAACATAACATAACATAACATAACATAACATAACATAACATAACATAACGTAACAACATAACGTAACAACATAACATCACATAACTACAAAAGTACAAAAACTGTGTAAAAAGGAGCCACTACTGCATGCAGTATATAATATCAAGCATGAACATAGAAATAGGAAAACTGTATATAGAGACATAGTAAATAAGAAAGTATTAACCGCTGTGTGTGTTTAAATAATAATAACTGCAAATCAATCATATTTCATTTTCTTTCTTCTGACTGTATTAAAACACCATAGTGGTGAGAAAATACATTAGTGACCATAAAACAATGTTATTACAACAAATAAGGAAATATTTCATGGTATATTGGCTTTTCCTTTTGCTTGCTTAAAAGTTATTGACAGACAAAGACCTGCACAGCATATTATCTTAGATAGTGATTTTACCATTGTTTGGGTTCAGTTAAACTTAAGGGAGGTCTGGAGAGAACTCCCTGTTGGAACCACTATGAACAAACTGTTATAGAGCTTCCATAAGAGGAATCAAAAGAATTTTACCTGAGACTTGAGAGGGTTGGTGCTATGTAAAAAAAAAAACAAACAAAAAAAACACCAAACACAGGTAGAGAGCATAGAGAAATAATTTTACTTAACCATGTTTTATTGCTGGGGTCTCTGAGACCCCAAACAGAAGTAAAAGTAAAGCGTAATCTTCTCTAGCAGACATCAAAGAGCAAAGCAATTCTCATAAAATCAGGAAAACTCATAATGTATAAAGGTCATAACACAATGTTAAGTTTTCTGAGCTGTTTAAATACAAAAATGCAATTTGCTTAAAATCAGGTGAGTGAAGTGTCTTATTCATAGCCGAGCCAGTAAAGCATAATCAAAGCAACCAGAATGAAGACAGAAGAAAACAGTGATATTGTGCCTTTAAGTATTACTTAATCTTCAAGTCCCAAATTTATGATACATGGAGAATCTTTTTTTCTGCAGTTCAAACTGAAGAGCAGTTGATTTGTATGTATCTGGTACATAAGGGCTCCACTACAAAATTCACTTTATTCTTCCTCTATCTGTACTTTCTTCAAAAGAAAAATAAATATTCTGTACCAAATAAAACATGGAGCTATTAGTCATAGCTCAAATATGATTCTATTATTCCGGCTTGGACAGGATGAGGCCAATGGACCATTAGGAAAAGGCCCGGCAGCAGGTTTTCTCCTGCGTTCTGCTTTCACATCCATTTTCATACACAACCTCCACACTGGACTAACAAGCTGAAGGTTCTGCTGATAGCACATTCTCCTACAGCTATCTGTTGTCATGCCAAGACATACACTTACATACAAAAACATACAGACATACACTTACCCATGTACACACTCGTCCACAAACACAGGCAATCTCTCAACCAAGCCAAGCCGCTTCCCACTTCTGAACGCCCACACTGTGCAACATGAAATAAACATTAAATAAAACTGTTCCTCCTCTGTCATTGTTCTTTGAAAATGAATTGAAGCAACTGCAGGCCAATGTTAATGCTTTGTTTTAGCTAGCGGCAGGCACATGAAACGAGCTGCATGAGGCACTGAGCTGACAGTAGCCACTGGCACCGTAGGAACACACACACATACACACACACACACACACACACACACACACACACACACACACACACACACACACACTCACACACACATACATACACTCCTACCGAGCAGACAACAGATGAAATTCTAGCTGAAGACAGCTTCCCTACAGGAGTATTGGCTTTGGAGAATGGAAGCTGATTGCGTTTGCTCTGTCTCCTTTCCCTGTCATCGATTCGGGGATAAACATGTCTGAATACAGCGCTTTATCAGCATTTACTGCTGATTACAGAAATTGCTCATTACAACAGAATTAGACTCCCTTTTTAAATAAAAGAGCAATCAGCCCATTAGTATGGCTCCTCACATGCTACCTAAGGATACATCATCCCTCATTCTAAGGCCCTAGTGGATATGAATCAACTCTGACTCATCCATAGTTGCCTTAGCTTGAGCACTCCTTAACACATCTAAAGGAATATTGATCGAGGCTTTGACGGACGGATTGAGCTTCACAGGGCATAGCTAGACTGGCATGTTGGAGAGAAGGAGCAATATCACTTCCCGCTGTTGGGGACATGACATCATCTTTGAAGACAAAGGGAGCCGCTTTAAAGTGGGAAACGGAAATATCTCTGCCCCGTGTGCTAACTGGAAAACGGTTCTGTACGCAATATTTTGGTTGGCTCTAAATATAGCTTCAGGTTTTTCCTGCAGTGGGACCTGTTTTTAAGAGAGAACAATAACCTGGCAGAGTGCAAATGCAAGAGGGAGGAGAAGTATTCATCTTCATACATTCCTTCTATTACAGACTGCTCTCTCGCGCTCAGTCATTGCCATGGACAGCTACACAACTACGACTCTGATCTTTTTTTCCTCCCTTCTTCTCCCCCTTTTTCCTGGCTCTGTCCGCAGCAGTTCATTATGTATGCCTCTCCGCTTGAACATGATTAATATTTCCCATAGAATGAGTCTGGCATCAAAGCCCCTCAAAGCTCACTACCGCACCCCTAACAAAGACACACACACACACACACACACACACACACACACATTCACATATGAACACGCACATCTGCAATGCACAAGGAACTATACTATAAGACATATATGTTTAAAGGATACAAACCCACAAGGGCTGCTCTTGCTCTGCTGGCACATACTTATTGCTGTCTTTAGTGAGCTGACAGTGGGATGTTAAGCATCAAGTGATAATGTAAAAAGACACCCGCTTGTGTAAGACTCAGCAGAGATTAACCTGACGACTGTCAGCTCCTGCATAAGATCTGGGTGTGAAAGAGAGTGAATGTATAAATAAATCTGATGTCTGAGGGGCTAATCTGATGTGTGCATATGGGCGTGTGTGCATGATGCATACTGTATGGGTGGATAATAGCGTAGCATAAGCTAAAAGTGAGAGTGGTGTAATCCTGTTGGAACTTATGCTACAGGATAAGTTCACAAACATATAAAATAAACAACAAATCCTGAATTTATAAGCCATGGGTGGAATTGCACACCGAGGTAGCTAAAATATACTGGGAAGCAAAAGAGAATAAGACAGGAGATAGGAGGGATGGTGGTGCATGATACTGCAGCTATTCCCAAACTCCTGAGTCCCTCCTTAGCCTTCAGACACACACTGATACACATACACAGACAAAAGCAACACACCAACATGCACATGCACACACACACCTGCCAAGCATGGATAAAGGAGGGATTAAAGTGTGTCAGAAAAGGAAACCAGAGAGAGAGGCATGAATCATTGTTTCCCTTAGAGGACTGGTGCACCTATAGACACATGGTTTCACACAAATACACACATGTGCACACACACAAGACATACAGACACAAAATGGAGCTAATTGTTACTTTTTCTGCAATATAGCGCGGGTAAAGACCCACCAGTTTGCTCAAAAAGAAAACACAATATTGTGGTTTGTGTACATGTGTCTCACAAACACACATACACACACACACACACACACACACACACACACACACACAATCAAGCTCATACAACGGCCCAGCATTTTTCCAACTGAAATCTTTGCCCTTTACAGTGACTCTCATGGTTCTTTTGATCAGTAGCTTTGCCCTTGTGTTTGGTGATGTGTAATTTCAGCATCAGCAAATCAATGCTTTTGGAACACTCCAGCTGAAAAGCAGATGTCATTGGATCAGAGGTTCTCTCAAGCTGAGCTGTGATGACTGATGAGGGGCTGAACATTTTAGAAATCTCTGCGGCACGCCACTAGATAGAAGAAGGCCGAGCAAAAAGAAAAATGTCACTCCAACACACTCAGAAAGAGCATCATCATCATTAAATAACTCATGTCAATCACCATAACTGCGTCTGTAATCTACTATTCACCAGTTGGGTTGTGTTGCTATCAAGCTGTGCGTTGGAGGAAAAATGCTTTCTTCCAGGCTGAATGGAGTTAATTGGACATGAGCTTTGGAGAAGAACATCTGCAATCGCTGCTGACTGATGTGTATTGTTTGAAAGACAGCTGCCTGCAGAGAGCTTCCTAAGACTGATCTCTCTCTCCTTTTTGTCCCATTCTCACATCTCCCTTCTTCCTCGCTACCCCCTGCGTTCCACATACCCCCCTCCCTCTCTGCCCCTTTAAAGAGGCTGAAGGACCTCAAGCACAGAGAGTTTGCTCGGAACGTGGCCTCAAAATCATGGAAGGACCAGCGCAAACAGGAGAAGGCTCTCAGACGCCTGCACCAGCTTGCACAGCTGCAACAGGAAACCCAACGGTAAGTTGGAGGAGCGTGTATTTGTGTGTGTGTGTGTGTGTGTGTGCGTGCGTGCGTGCGTGCGTGCGTGTGTGTGTGTGTGTAATGAGACCAGGGGCAGGAGTCCAGAGGGGTTGGAGTGTGTCACATCCAGTCAACGTTTCCTAGATTTGATGGATGCATCCACAGATGTGAGAGCACTCAGTTGGCCTAGATGGGCCACAGGTGAAGTAAATATAACATGAAGACACATTCTTGCTGACTCTCAGAGAGTAGATGGTTTGTTGTAGAAGGAGATGGTGTTTTAGAGAAGAATGAATAGTAGAAGAAAAAACATTGTTGTAAATTAAATGACTGAAAGGTGTTCAAACATGAAAGTTGCCTCAGGGTTCGGTAAAGCAATCAAAACAACTATGCACTATGCATCACATAGTAATCAGCTTGATTGCACCTATTTCCTGTGCAATTAAATGTGTTTTTCTATAATCAGGTGATGATATGTGAATAGCATTACTATGACTACACAAGTCATGTATTCTTTCTTTCTTTCTTTCTTTCTTTCTTTCTTTCTTTCTTTCTTTCTTTCTTTCTTTCTTTCTTTCAATAGCCTGTATAATGTATTGTTACAATATCCTCTACCTCAGTACTAATCTCAGTAGAGTTACAATAGGCTCCATTGTGGATCTGTATTATTACATAACTGTACAGATAATACATGTCTCTACATACCTGTATGTATGTTTAATGTACATTAAAATCTAATTTAATCTATAGCATTTCAACTAGAAGCGCACTCAGAGAGCACAGATCTCTGCCTCTGCAAGTGACAAACAACATACACCAGACATAGGAGAGAAAAATTCAAATTCATAGTAAATGATTTAGATCTGCCACAAAAATGAATGGATTCTTCCCTGGCCCTTGCCCCATCCCTCCGCCAAGTTCGATGCAAATCAGTTTTGTACTGTGTAATCCTGCTGACAAAGAAACAGACAAGGGTTAAGACATCTTTGGTGGGGGTAATGAAGCACTTGTATGCTGTATAAGTGCATTATCTACTTGACCCTCACTACTTAAAGTGTATTACTCAGCTCTATCATTTATGGGTGCAACTAATAATTAATGTGTACTAACTCATCATTTTGTGTCAGTATGTCAAGATTGATTAATTGACTAATGATTTCTGTTCTACTATCATTGTATTGTCAGATTTTAGTGTATTATTCATGCATTTGTACTGTTTTTTGTTATTTAGTTGACTCCTTCAACCTTTTATTTGTCTATAGCTTTCTAAATATGCATGTTATTCAGATAATTTATGTTTTCATGATATGTCATGATGGCATTAACTTTTAATGTCATGTGTCAGTTCAAGGTTGAATTTATTTGAAAGAGTAACTAACAGAAGGCTGAAAAGCAGTGTTTCCCTGCCCTCTCTGATGTCTTTGCCACATCTGTAACCACACCCAACAGTGATGTCACAAGGTCTTGGAGCAAACCTGTACATCGCTGAAGCAAGGTGAAAAGTCAAACCACCGGTGGTCAGCAAAAACAAGCTTTTCAGCGGTTGTTAAGTTACTCTGTAATTAAATTGAGCCAGGCTAAAGTGAAGTCAAGTGTGATCAAACTAAACTAAATTCAGGTTTGTCATGTCACCTCATGTTGCAGAGTCCCAGGAAGGAGTCATGGGCTAAGAAGTACAGTCAGGGCTGTGAGCCAGCAGCAAGAGAGAGACATGAACCAAAGAGACCACAGCCCTGACTACAAACCTGAGCCCTCCAACCACGCCCAGCAACCCCGTCCTCCACAAACCAGGACAGCTACTCTCAGCCACCAGCCAAAAGATCCATGCCAATCTCCGTGCCAAATACCGTTGGCCACTGCTCTAGCAGAGTCCCCACTAATCACACATCCGGCATCCAATACAGACCCTCCTGCAGTGAACTCCCAGTCTTGTCTGGGCATGTATCCCCAGCTGCCTCTCCCTGGACGGGGGAGAGTGGGAGGCAGGCTCGGGGTGTCCTTCTGCTTCTCACGCAGGGGGCCAAGGCTGGAGCCTTCTGCCTCCGTCTTCTCGGACCTCGAGGAGGAGGAGAGAGAGAAGAGGAAGCAAATGAAAGAAAGGATAAGGGGAATAATGGAAGATATTGACAGGGAGATTGGGGCATCAGAGGAGAGGAAACACGATCCGAGTGAAAAGCGTAAGTCTAGCTCTGACAGTGTTGGACCGAGCGACATGGGGCAAATCCCCGGAGAGACAGTGAGAGAAGAGGAGGAGATTGAAAAAACAGACATCCTGAAAGAACACTCTCTTATTTCCACAGCAGCACCTGATAATAAGAGCCATGATTCACTATTCTTACCATCGCAGACCCAGGTGACCATATGGGGTGCAGCACTAGCAGGGGAACACATAGACACCGAAAACACAGATAGTGAGACAGAGAGAAAGCCAGAAACAGAGGCGGGGAGGGAGGAGAGTCAGCATGTGTGTGTGCTAGGGAAAGATGGCTCTACCCGTCTGAGATGGCCTGTCAGTTTGCTTAAGTTCACCAAGTCTCAACCACACATTTCCTACAGCTGCAACCCACTCTGCTTGAACCCGCAACGACCAGAAAAACTCACAGAGGATCTGCAGGAGTCACAACAGGATCAGTTGTGTGCTCTTTCTGATGAATCAAACCCATGTGTGCCAGTTATTCTTACACCAGACGCTCATTCCTGTTTACAAAGACATACAAGACATGAGTTGAGAGCACCCAGATGGAAAATAGCTGAGGAGAATATCAAGACGGAGCAACATATCAATGTGGAAACAAAAGCACACCTGTTCCTAAAAAAACCCCTTTCATCATCGGAAACAGGATCAGAAAGAGGAAGAAACAACCTAAGTATGGAGAATTGTGTGAGGGCAGCCTCCCATCCATTTGACCCTGCCCATAGTGACAGCTCTGACACAAACTCCCAGGATCCTCTGGGAGGCAGATTAGGGGGTGTGAGAGGGATCAGCGAGAGAGCCATCACAGCCCTGAGCTGTAAATTAGAGTCTGTCACCCAGTCTGGCACACAGGGGATGTGCATCAGCCCGTCCAGGTGTGAGTGTGGGAGAGAGACAATGTGCGAGTGCGCCAGCACTCCACAGCCGTATGTGGGTGTCTCGGAAGTGTCACGCAAAAAGAGGAAAGCTAGCACAAAGAAACACAAGCTGGGAAAGAGGAAGAGGGGCGAGAAGGAAAAAACTTCAAACAAGCGCCTATCAGCAAGGTGCAAAGTGAGGAGTGTTGTCTCCACAGTATCCACTGGCAGAGAGAGGAGAGGAGAAGCTGGAGGGAGCTGGAGGAAGAATGGGAGGCAAAGGGTGAGTGGGGATAGAGGCATGAGGAGGATGGTGCGAAGAGCAGGGAGCAGCTGTCTCCTGGGGAGATGTGAGGCTGAACCAGTATCTATCTCTGTCAGGAAGAGGAGGCCTCACAGGAGCCACAGCACTGAATCCCAGTCACAGCCAGACAGAGAGCAGGCAGATCACTGCAGTGCCTACTCCCAGCTCACCAGACACACAGCAGACAGAGACACCGAGGGGGAGGGAAAGCGAGACGAAGACGGGGTGACTTTTCCCTGGCGGTCTCACTTCTCCTTACACTCCTTCTCACCAGGATGCAACTCAAAGCTGTTTTGGGAAAGGGGTCACCATAGCAACCCCAGGAGTTTCATTGACTGCTGTTACCCTGACAACAGCTGTGGTAGCAGCCCGGCGAGAAAGAGAAAACTCCCCCACAGGGACAGGAAATTCATTCATAGTAAGAGTTTGAGGCACGGTGAAGCCTGGGAGGAGAGGGGCAGGAAGGTGGGAGGGAATTCAGGTAGAAGAGACAGAGGCCTGATTTCAGATACAGAGCAGTGGGAGTGGATGAGAGGAAACTGTCCTGGAGGCAGTGAGGAGGGCAGGTCAAGGGCTGGGTGGAGGTCAAGAAACAGAGTAGTGGAGAGGGACCGGGTGGCGAGGTTTAGCCCCAGTCCTAGCAGCTGGGGCAGGAGTAGCAGACATCTTAGCACTGAAGATGTAGACTGGGACAGGTGCAGCGTTGACAGATGGACATGGGGCAGCAGCGACAGCTGGGAAGACAGGGGGACACACAGATCCACGTCAGGCTCCAGGACAGGGGCTGACAGCAGAGACAGCCCGGGCTGTGTGTGGAGATGCACAGGCACCAGACGCTCAAGCTCAAGACACTTCTCCAGCCCTGAGTGGTGGACAAGCGGGCAGACATACAGCCCCCAAAGTGTGATCAATACACGGGCCAGCAGATGCCATAGCCCACGATCCTGCAGCCCCTGCAGCAGCACCAGCATGTCAGAGCTGAGCTGGGAGTGGAGCAGGAGCAGTACCTGCTCTGGAGTCACAGTGGATGGGCTGACAGCTAGTTCTTGCGGGATGTCCTCAGGAGCTCCAGGACTCTCATCCGAGGCTCCTCAGGGGGCAAAGAAACAGAGCACCTCCACATCTGCTTCATCTGGCCTTACCTGTAGTTCCCTCTCTCATTCCTCACCCCCCAGAGCCTCTTTTGCTCCCACAGTTCCAAGCCTCAACACGCACCATGGTGAAACAAGTCCTTCACAGCTAAAAGAGCCCAATTCGCAGTCTGACCATCGACATGGATCCTCAACCCCTGTCACCACAAGCAGCTCAGGCAGAACTCTTCAGGGACTATCCCCCAGTAAGTCTCTGCCACAGAAACCAACAAGGATGTTGCTTCTCCCTCTCATTGGGAAACTACCTGCAATCCAGAGAAAGGCTAAGAGGAAAAAGTGGCTGCTGGAGAAGAGTCAGGACAAGGGGGGAGAGGAGGAAGACGAAGCTAAGGGCAGTGGAGTGGATCCTGGAGCAGTCGTCGACAGTCAGAAACATCCTCTGGACGTGGCTGAGTCAAACGCAAGCAGCATGCCAAATCTCTGCCTGTCACAGATTAGGACTGATGACAAACAGACAGGTGGAGAGACAGCACCGCCAATCAGCTTTACTGCTGAGGAGATGGACAAATATCGTCTCCTGCAGGAGCAGGCAAGAGAGCACATGCAGAAAGTCCTGGAACGGTCGCAGGAGAGTGCAGATACACACACAGAGACAAACTACACACACACCACACAGGCAGAGAACTGTGGAACTTCAGAGGAACAATACACACCTGTACCTGCACCCTTGCACAACCCTTCACAGCCTCAAACCCAGTCAATTCACACAGATGCGATGCAAGCACAAGCACAGCACGCCCTCCGGGTCAGTCTCCCTCTTCCACATGTGACCCCACAAGAGAACTTTACTCAGCCCATGGCTCTGGCAGTCCCCAACCTCCCCCCTCTTCCACCATCCCCCCCTCTCTCCAGCCTTCATCATATCATTTTACAACACACAGCCCTCTCCATGCCCCCCTCCTCCTCCTCCTCTTCCACCTCGCCCCCCTCTCCTGCCATCCACCCACACCCAGCTCAGCTCCCTCACCCCCTACAACCTCTCCACCCCTCCCTCCCTCATCACCTTCACCTCTCCCCCTTCTCCATCTCCTCTCTGTTCCCCTCCATCCTGCTGTCCCATCATCCCATGCCTCTCCTGCCTCAGTCCGCTGCTTTCCATGCAACCCCACTCGCCCCGCTCTCCTCAGTAGCACTGCAACCCTTGAACCCGCAGCCTTTCATGGAGAGAGTGTGGCCAGTGAGGTTTCAACAGAAGGCATTATGATTGTCACAGAGTGGCTGCCATGTTTATTCATCTTCCTTGGCAACACAGACTGGTGAGAGAGAGAGAAGGAATTTTTAGTTTGGACAAAAGCCTTCTATTTGAAATGGGGATGTGTCAGTGCTTTTACTAGCATCATCTCCAACTCTTACCCACATATGCACTCACAAACACACACACACGCATGCATACACACAAACAGCCCAACTATTGACTGTTTTCAAATGAAAATGTGTTTCTCCATTTAGCCTCTGCCGTGTTGCAGCAGACAGTGAGAAAACAGACTTTGATCCTTTGCTTTTTCCATCATTCCTCATTCAGGCCCAGAATAAAGGGAAAGGTGCACCTGCTATTCAAAGACAAGCTGGGCTTGTGTCATCCTCTCTCTTTCCTTCTGAACCACAGACAGACCTTGCTGCCTTTTGAAGTATCATTCATGCCAGGGAAAGAGGGGCAAGAGAAAGTGATAATACTCTCCCCTTATCTCCATTTCATACAGGTTATCTGAGTTAGAGTGTGACTTTCAATAAACATAAATAACGTTCCAGGAACCGGGGGGCATAGCACAGCCATTTTAACCTTGGTGTATATTGTATTTGTGTGTGTGTGTGCATGTGTGTATGTGTGTAAGATAGATGTAATTCTGGAATGACACACATGCACCATAGGAAGGACAACAACTAATTTCCATATCTGACACATGTAAAGACCTGTTATGTCTCTATAGTGTAAATATTCTGACAGAGAGTGATAACATTAGAATCATGGGAAACAATAAAATAAAAGGTGAATTCAACCTTTAGCAGTAGTTCAATGCTTATTCCACACTCACTGATACAAACACATCAACAACTTTTCATATTAATATGTGACATGACCTTTTTTTCCACACAGCAAATTGATTTAACAAATCAGTTGTTAAGACAGCAATGAATGAAACTGATCTGTTACATTAAAACTTGGGTGAAAATAAATGGGCTTTAATGCTTCATGTTATTCTGTCTGATTCATGGTGATTGTGCAACTTGTTGCAACAAACTCCACATAAAAAATTAATACTGTGTGGTTTGGTATTTCTCAAAGTGAGGCCCACAATTCCTAGGAGTCATTTCTAAAATGTAGAAGGATCATTCTAAAAGAGTTTCTAGTTCTTTTCTTGATCATGAATTTCCCCTAGGGGACAAATAAAGTATCTATCTATCTATCTATCTATCTATCTATCTATCTATCGATCTATCTATCTATCAATCTATCTATCTTATTGTTAAACAGATAAATTATTTGGTACAAAGAAACTTTTTGACCACATTTCATTATTATGTCCACTTTGACCTTTGGTTCACCATACTGGGGATGCCCAAAGCCAAAAATATCCACTCTGTTTCAGGAGACTTAATCAGCACCAGATGGTTTGAAGTGTATATTTTGCTTGAGTATCATATATGTGAGATAAGAAAGAAACAAAGAAACAAAGAAACAAACAAATACCATTTGCATCATTAATGAAACATACACTGTGTGAGCTTTTTTCTTGCATGTCTTACCCAGGGTTATCGTGGTTAGTAACTGTTGCTATGCATCCATGCTTGGTGATTGGTGAAGGCAAGGATGTATTAAAGCTGCTTGCCAAACAGTTGATCACTGCAGCGGCCGGCTCTCGGGGAGCAGAGCACAGAAGAGAACAGAGCGGCATCCAGATGGTCTGTGGACTTGGACTACCCAGAGTGCTTTGAGAGATTGGATTGATTTGCCCTCTGTGATATCAGTGAACACAGACCAGCACACAGGGGGGGCTACAGCAAGAGGTGACATAAATACAGACATGAAAACAAGACACAAAATGTACACTCCGAGTCCTGAGGTGTTGGCTAGAAATGTAAGTCAACTCCTGCAGAGATTCAGTAATTAGAGCACAATTCCTCTTTCTCCTCCTCATGACCCCTGAGCTTGTGTGTGTGTGTGTGTGTGTGTGTGTGTGAGTGTGAGTGAGTGTGAGTGTGTGCGCATAAACGTGTGAGTTTGTGAGAAACAGACACAGAGAATCCCTATCTCTCTCCACAGGACAGGAGATCAAACAGACTGTGTGAAATATAGAGCAGCAATAATTAGCAGCTGTTACAGCATCAAACCTCTCTATCTCTACCTCTCTCTACAACACATACACACACACACACCCTACTGCTCTGTTCTTATCCCAGAGTTTAATTTAGCGATATTCAAATGTGCTGCAACTTCTCAGCCCTCCAATACTGATAATCAGGGAGAATACAGAATCAACCCACTCCATTTGTTCCTCCATCTTCTCTCCAGTTCATGTGCATTAAATTCACTGACACAGTCTAATGTGGAAAATGCATGAAAACAGGCACATACAAAAACAAATTCAAGCAAAAATGTTATTTTAAAAACCCATTTAAATAGGGAGACCTTAATTTTATTATAAAGTTAAATTGGCAATGACACACACACACACACACACACACACACAAGGCCGGCCCAAGGCATAAACTAACTAAGCAGCTGCTTAGGGCCCTCCAAGAGCACTTGAAATGCCCCACTATATATATTTTAATACTATGACGGCCAGCATTCTAGCACCTATAGGTGCCACTAACGTCATATATAATTACATTGTTTGGGCTCTCAAGCAGTTCTGCTCAAGCAGTGGAAAAAATAGATAAGTGCGACTGTACTTGGCTTGGAAACTGCTCGGTAGTTTTAATCTTTATTTATTTATTTAGTTATTTGAAGGCTAAAACTGACAGATAAATGCAGGCCTAGTGAAGTAAAAAAAGACATCATATAATATAGAGAAGGATTGGTAACTATCCAATTTCCAATTAATGTTGTTCCATGTCGTGTATTACCCATTGATTTATTTAGTGCTGCTGCATGTCTTCTATTCAAATTGACCGTTTTCTTTGGGCTATAGTGCTAAAATACAACACTATAGATATGTAGTTTAAAAATTATCAACACAGAAATGATAAAAACATTTTAAACGACAGGCACTGTTCAACGCAACTGGCACACACGCCCGTAACTATGACACACCTACCTATGGCTGCATCTGTAGATGGTGAGCACTCTCATGCCAAGAGGGGTTGTTGCTGTTTGCTCTGAGATTTATTGGATTGTTATTTTTTGTTTATTGTATGTTGGTGTTTGCTTTTTACAATTGTTGTACCTGAAGATGATGCAAAAGTTCTCAGAGACCGGTGTAGCTGGACTGCATAGCAGCCGGCAGCCATGTTGAGATTTATTAAATTCCTTCTTTATCAACAATGAGAGTGGTTGTTTCTTACTTCTTATAGCTTTAGCCTAAAGGCCTACTATTTACAAAATCAAGATCTAGTTTGTATTCACTAAATGAAGTGTGTGAGTGGCTGCATCTGCGGGTATAGGCTAGCAGTCAGGTTGCTATCATGAGTAAATATAATATGGTGGATATATCAAAGTATGAATTGAATTTCTGTCAAAAAATCCCATGACAAAGGTCACATTGAATACTGTGACTTTTTTTATACCTTACTATACTATGACGTTTTCATGCTTAAATACACTGTAACTTTTTTATGCTTCACTATACTATGACATTTTATACCTTGTCATAATTGAACATTTCATGCCTTACTGCAATATATCCTTTTTACGGGGGAGCACGGTCAGCAGGGGTTAGGACGGTAGTCCCACAGTGTGAAGGCTGTGAGTTCGAACTTCGGGCCTGGGTCCTTTCTGTGTGGAGTTTGCAAGTTTTCCCTATGCCTTCGTGTGCTCTCTCTAGGTAATCTGGCTTCCTTTGCAATCCAAAGACATGCACATTGGGATAATTGACATTTGACATTTTTATGCCATACTATACTATGACTTTTTATTTTTGACATTTTATGCATTATTATACTATTTCATTTTGTGATATTTTTATGCGATATTATACTATGACATTTTGTGACATTTTTATGCCATACTATACTGTGATGTTTTTCAAGTATTTATGCCTTACTATACTATAACTTTTTTGACATTTTTTGAGATATTTTATGCATTAGTATTGTGTGATGTTTTTTGACATTTGAATGCTTACTATACCATGAATTCTTGCCATACTATACTGTGACATTTTTTGAAATTTTTATGCCATATTGCTCCATTTTTATTCCTTATAAAACTATGACATTTTTTAAAATTTTTATGGCATAATATATTATGATGTTTTTGACAATTTTATGCCATATTATACCATGACATGTTGTGATATTTTATGCCTTCTCTATGACATTTTTTATGCCATACTATACTAATACATTTTTTTTTGTGCCATATTGTACTATGACCTCACTATAATATACCTCACTTTTTTGACATTTTAAGCCTTACTGTACTAGGACATCTTGAACATTTTTATGCCATATTACACTATGATGTGTTTTGACATTTTCATGCCTTACTATACTAGTACATTTTTAGACATTTTTATGCGAAACTATACTATGACATTTTTTGACATTTTTATGGCTTAGTATGCTAGGCCATTTTATGACATTTTTATGCCATATTAAACTATGACATGTTTGGGAATTTTTATACCATACTGTATATACTATGACATTTTTTTGCATTTTTATGCCATACTACACTATGACATTTTTTGACATTTTTATGCCATATTATATTATGATGTTTTTCACATTTTAATGCATTACTATACTATGACATTTTTTGACATTTTTATGCCATATTACACTATGACGTTTTTTGTCATTTTCATGCCATGCTATACTATGACATTTTTTTTACATTTTTATGTCATATTTTACTATGTCGTTTTTCACATTTTAATGCCTTATTATACTGTGACATGTTTTGACAATTTATGCCTTCAATTTTTTTATGACACACTATACTATGATATTTTTTCACATTTTTATTACCTTAATATACTATGACATTTTTTTTGCCTTACTATACAATGACGTTTTTGAGATTTTTATGCCTTACTATAC